ACGCCGGAGGAGCCACAAAGCCAAAGGCACGTTGACCGATGCGGCACGGGCAATCCAAAAGTGGACGCCGGAGGAGGAGTGCATATTGGCGTCGGCTTGGGTTGACGTCTCCGAGCATCCTATCATTGGTAAAAAATTTGTTTTTTCTAATATATTTATATTTTTATTTATATATATTATATTTAATGGTGGTCAAAAATAATAATTATATACTTTTTTAAAGGTACGGAGCAAACGAAGGATGCGATGTGGGATCGTATCGAGGAGAAGTTCTTCACGGCGATGAAGAAGGACGGCTCGTACCGAAGCCGTGACCAACTCACTTCCAAATGGAGCCACATCAACAAAAAAGTACGAAAATTTATGGGAGTATACGAGGAATGCTCCCGGTCCCGGAGGAGCGGCATGAACGACGTCGATGTTCTCCGGCTTGCCACGACCCGGTATCAAGACGACGGGAACCAAGACAAGGTGCCCATCGATCTTTGGGGGATTTTGAGTCGTTCCCCGAAGTGGCAACAACTCAACAATCCCGACGGCGTATCATTCCGGAAAAGATCCACCGTCGACGCCGAGGTTGAGGTCGACGGGACCATCGGTTCTACCGATCAAATCCCTCCCTTCAACGTTGCGGTTTCCGATGACGAGGACCCCATTCCACGGCCGATCGGAAGAAAAAAGGCAAAATCAATTGCCTCTGGTTCGGGAGGGTCCGCCTCTATTTCTGCTTCTCCCCGCGACGAAATCGGCCGGGCAATGGTTGAACAACTTCGCGCGTTCAATCTCCAAGAACAAGAGAGGATGAAGCTTAAAGAGAAGGAGTTGAAGCTAAAGGAGCAGGAGGCCGAGATGAAAGTCATGCAAACCGACCCCGCGACGTTGTCGGAGTTTGAACGAATTATCTACGAGCAAAGAATGAGAGAGATCAAGGAGAAATATAATTTTCCTTAGTTGTTTTATTAATGTATCTTTTTTTTAAATTATTGTCGCTTTTTTTATTTAATTAATGTGTTTTTTATAATTCGTGTTTCAATTTAATTAAATAAAAAATTAAATACATTTTATTAATTTAATTTTAGAAGATGTATATTTAAAAATGTAAAAAATGAAGGTTTGAAGCCCAGTTTTGAAGCACCGGGGCTTCAAACCCATTTCCAGTGAATTCTGGGTGTAAGTTAAAGCTGACGTGGCAGAGAGAGAAAGTTTGAAGCCCCGG